ATTTTTATTTATGTAAATTTTCCCTTGATGTCCTTTGCTCATTTTTTAAAAATTTGCAATGGCCATCTTTTTATTGATTTGAAAGAATTCATTATATGAGAGTATTAACCCTTTTCTGTATAATTTGCAATATTTTCCCTCTAAAACTTAATGTTGAAAGGTACTTGTTTGAAAATAAATATATATATTCCATTTTTACCATCAGTCTGAAATGTAGTTAGGGAAAGAGCAGCTCATGCTGAAAATAGTCAGTATCATTTGATGCAGTGAGTGACCCAGCACTGATACTTTAGTTTTTGTTTAATGAAGTCATTGTTGTTGTTTTTTCTCAAGTTCGTTAGAGGAGAAATGGTGTTATAGTATCTTTATTCCTCATAAGCATCTAGCATAATGCCACTAATCATTTGAGAACTTTTTTCTGAGATTTGCTTTTATTCACATAACAATAGATCTTGAGCATTTATACTTATAATTACCTGAAACTTTTTCTAGAATCCTAGTTTCTTCTTTTTCTGAGGAGCAGCTGAATCGTTATGAAATGTATCGCCGGTCAGCTTTCCCCAAGGCAGCCATTAAAAGGGTAAGGATAATTCACCACACTTCATTTGGGTGGGGAAATAAAAATAACATGTTCCTCAATTATCTTACCAAACATAGTTTTGTGTTACAGGGATAGGGCCTCAATATACAGAACAGGTCATAACATACCTGGAAACTTATTTTGATAGTCTCAAATTTAGCACCTAACCTTTAGTAAATACTTTTTTCAGTTCAAAACTCTCTTATGGGCAGTATGTTCTAATCTAAGGAGCTCTGGTAGCATATTGGTTACGAGTCTTGCTGCTGACCTGAAGGTCAGCAGTTTGAAACTACCAGTCGTTCCACCAGAGAAAGATGAGACTTTCTGCTCCTGTAAAGATTACAGCCTTGGAAACCCTATACAGGGTTGCTATGAGTCAGAACCAACTCCACAGCACACTACCACCACGTTTTAATCTTAATAACAGTGTCTTTGTCCTTCTTTCAAGCTGATCCAGTCCATCACTGGCACCTCTGTATCTCAGAATGTTGTGATTGCTATGTCTGGTATTTCCAAGGTCTTCGTTGGGGAGGTGGTAGAAGAAGGTAAGTAATGTTGCTTCAAATGCTGAACTGAATCTGTAGTGTTCTTATTGTTAATAATATCAATACCAAGGTATTTAAGAAAGTACCTCTGGTAGTTCCCATTTGCACTAGAAGCTGACTGGGTGGGAGCCTTGTATTCAGGAGAGCTGAACATTTCTTGAAAGTTTCAATCCTGGGAGGTAAGGAAGCATCTAGGAAACCCCCCTGCCTAATTCCAGCCCTCAGCACAGTGTGATAAAAACAGCCTTGTGTTGGTTTCCAATGGACCTTGTTCATTTCTGCTGCCCCAAGATATAAGAATAGCAGTCACCAGGGCTCACTGGTGTGTTATGTGAATGATCCCTAATGGGACCGACTCCTGGATAATGCCCTCTTCTACAGTGGGGTACAGAAGGCCTGGCAGTTGCCCAATACCAACCCTGAGCTAGTAAAATTTAAACAGTTGGACTGTTTAAGGTGTTGCCTAGGATTAAGCCTGATACAGTATTGTGCTAATGCTGACATGATACATTTTATAGCATTCTTTTCAAAAGGGAAGATGATATTTCCTTAGTAAACTTATGAAGGGTTTTACTGAGAATTACAGAACTCAAAAGGAGAATATGATTAACAGATTCTTGTGTGAGAATAAAAACTTTCTCTTTGCCCTCTGTTTAGCATTGGACGTATGTGAGAAATGGGGAGAGATGCCACCACTACAACCCAAGCACATGAGGGAGGCTGTTCGGAGGTTAAAGTCGAAGGGGCAGATCCCTAACTCAAAGCACAAGAAAATCATCTTCTTCTAAGCCAAAGCCTAGAAAAGTCCTGTTAATGAAAGAAGTACTGACTCTACCTATCCTGTGAGACTGTCTGTACTGGCGCTTCAGGGTCTCAGTCCACCAAGGATTTGATGATGATTTTGGTGGCTTCCTCAAAACTGGTTTTTGTCACACCTAGAAGTATATATCCTTGTTTCATACCTGCGTTGACTAAGTATTAAGACCTCCTAGGCCTTTGAGGCATAACTCTTTCTTGGTTAGTAGAAAGAAGAAAGATGCATAGGTCTTGAACATTCTCTGGACAGGAGAAAACCCTCCCAAGAGAGCTTTTTGATGGCTTCACATTGAAGCCTGAAGTTGCTGTGACTTGGGTTGCTTCTTAAGTCTGATGTTAAGTAGATGAAACTTTGACTTATGATACGCTATCATGAAGAATACAGTAATAACCGTACTGAGAATAGTTTGTCCTTGTTAACATTTAAGATTCTCCTGTGGATTTGGGTGAGTAATCAGTAAACTGTTTTCCAACTTGTCACATGTATATTTGTGTTCTGGTTGAAATAAGAAGACATTCATCATTCTTCTTTGGTGTTTAAGTAAAACTGGTCTTGACTTTCTTGGTGAAAATCTGAGCCTTTCCCATTTTATACTTAAATCATTGAAATTTTATCTTAAAAAAGAACATCTAAAGCACTGTTTTAAAACGATATAAAACCTAGGTTTTGTATTCCTCTGAACAGACATACCACAACCATTATTGTTTCATCAGTTTATTTGCTTTTGTGTGTTTTTTTCAGGTGGTTCACAGAACCAGTACACTCAAAGTTTGATTAAAAATTGCAACATTAAAATTTCCCCATACTGACCAGGATTCCAGTTCACTGATACATTCTTGTTTTCCTCAAGTAGAAGAGAATGGAGTGACATTTTATTGACAGTGATTAGCAGTAATAAGGCTAATATATGTAGTTGACAATCCTCGGGAAATCTTTCCTCTGTCATTCAGTGTCACAGGGAAAGGGATTTAGAAGCAGTTCTCTTTCTGAAGCTTTCTTGAGCATGTCTTAGTAAAGATTCCAATTCTGTTTAGCACCCAGATTAGGGGGGAAACATTTAGACTCATAAAATTGGGAAAATCTAACTTTAGTATCTGATATCAAAACATAAGGCTTTCCAAATGTACACAGCCAAATGTAAATAGCCATTTACAGCAAAGAAATGCTGTAAGAGTCAGGCGAAATCGTCACCAAAAACAAACTGACAAAAACTAGGTATTCTCTCAGCAATAGCAGGAATTTTAAGTTACAGAACTATATAGCAATTGCAGTTAAGAGACATTGGATAAGACTGAAACTTTATAACACAGAAAGATAATCACACCCCAAGGTTGGCCACTTAGCAAAGCCTCACTACTGTTAAAAGGTTTTTCCCTGGTGCATATATGAGATTGTGTTTGGGGGGGGGGGGGGAGAATCCCCATTCTATATCAGCTTCTATCCAAATCTACTCAGAGATGAGTGGGAATATTCCTATGCTAGAAAGTCAGGCCTAGGCCCTAAAAGGATGGCGCATGAAGACAGTCTCTCTGATAAGTAATGACTGGTAGATCAAAGTCATGACAGCTCTTCAGTAACCAGCTGTCATCATACTAGTGTGGACAACAAAGTTCAGTTGTTGCCATAGTTTTGTAATTTTACTAGAAATGATTTTAAAAGTTTAAGCAAGTAATAAAAAACAAACCTCAGTGTAAAGATATGGAATGGAATGTTCCCATAATCACTATGGCAATATTTTAAACTCCCTTTTTTCCACTAACTCCCAGAACTAGCCTGAGGGGATGCTAATGGAAATTAGTTCAGTGGAAGCACTTAAATAATGGGGCTGGGGGAAGGGGGGATATTTATCCCAATTATATTCCACACACAGGAACTATGTCTTTCAGGACTATGAGAAAGGCTTGGATCTGTGTCAAATTGAGTCAGGTGACATGTATAGTCAAATGCAGCCATCACTTACTCCCCTTCAATAATTAACTAGGTTAATTATTCCACTGAGTTAAAGAACTCAGTAAGATAGATAACCATCCCTATAACCCAGCTGAAGAAGGGATTTGAATTCTAGTTCATATGTACTAAAACATGTATCTCTCCAATACATCCATGAAAATGGTAAGTCTGTACACTCACAGATAATACATAGTCATAAATGTTTCACAGCTGAAATGGTAATGTGCAGTGTGGCTGAAGTCTTGGAGGGACAGTGGTGATATCCAGACATTTGCCTCTGAGGTATTGTTAGATCTTGTTCAGTGTTGCAGCTGTGAGATGCAAATTGTAAGCAGTCCATAGGAGCTGACACATTTTTTTCCTTCCATTCTTTTCCTTTACACTCATCCTGAGGACTACCAACCAGTTAGCATTTCTTTATTATGAAAAAGTCTTTTCCCAATGAACAGAAATACAAAGTTATACAAGATGATTTTTATCAAATTCCCATAGGATAATGATTCCTGCCACAATTCCTGAAGGAGCATTTCAAGACACAGTGTCCAAAGCTGCCACACAAGTAAAGTTATATTATAGGATTACAGTTGTCCCAGTTGTAAGAGCTCCCAATGACTTCAGAGGGCGCAGAAATCTGACTGAGCTCTGGCCATTAACGGGTTAGCCTTAACTTCTTGCTGGATTTGTTTCTGTTGCTGCCTACCAAGTACAAGCTTAAGGTAAGGGTACACCAAATAATCCTAGCTAACATTTTCTTTGCATGGAGGCATATGGTGGGAAGGCACAGACAGACTCAATGTGATTTTAGACCAGTTCAAGTGAGCCTGAAGTTAAATAATTCTATTTCCTGTCTACTAGACCCTCCCACACTGCCTCAGAGCAGCAGAAATGCCATGCTTAAGAGGAGCAGCAATCCACTCAGTCCAGCATTTTGTCTTTGAATATGCACAAATGGAGAGTTTGTGGAGGAATGTAGCTACCTCTAAGTTGTGTTATAATCAGCTAGCCCTCATTTTTACAGGCCCTCTTTGGAGGCCAATGCACAAGGATTCTTAAACTTTCTGAACTCGTATACAGTTTCTATGAATTTCTGATTTGCTATGAGAAATGCTTTCTTTTATCGAAGGCTTTCAGGTAGAACCCTAGAGCTAGTATTTCAGGACCTCATGTACATATTCTTGCTTCTGTCTGGATATTCAGTCCAACTATTCCCTTCAGCTTCCATCTTTCCAGAAGAGTCTATATTTTAAAAATGTGTCCTCATGTAGAAACACGTTCACTCCTGATCATTCTTACTATTCTCAAGCCAGGTTTTATAAATAAAGTCACTAGAAATGCACAAATAATTAGGTTTATACATAACCACCTCCTCCTTCTGCAATGCTTAGGTCTCCCTCTTGTGTTTTGGTAGAGTTCATTACCTTAATGTATTGTAATAAATGTATTACCTCATGCTTGTCCACACTGAATCTCATCCATCACTGTTTTCAGAGTTCTGTGATGCTCCTGCAGTTTTTGTTTTTTTCTTTTTTTTAAATCTCTTCTGATATGACCTTTAACTTCCTTGAAGTTGTCATATTTGATTTCATTATAAACTTCTAACTTTCAGGTCATTTATAAAAAACTTAAATAAGGTTGAACCAAGCATCAACTTTAAGGAAACCTCACCTGCCTATTAGCATTCTTCTCAGTTGTCTTTTTATTCCTACACCTAGTTTGTTTCCTAATCCGATGATCAAAGAGCAACGCATTTTAAATACTGCCTCAGTGAAGAGCCTTGACAACAGTTCTTTACAAGTCTGAAAAGATGAAATCTGGTTTCCCTGAATGCATGTTTTTTTTTATCCTCAAAAAAGCTCGAGTTGACCAATCAGGATTTCCCAGAAAAGGAACATTTTACCTCTTGTTCAGTAGCTCATGTGTGATGACTAGGATGTTTGTGACACCACTAAACTTAGTAATGGGGCTGGGGATGAGGGATATTTATCCCTATTATATCCCTAAACTATGAGTTACTACCCTACCAACTCAAAGGGAAGGCAGCTGATGTGCTTCTAGCTAATCAACATATGTTGAAGAAGTATCACAGAGCAGTATGGGTGAAGGTGGAGTGTTGGAGAAGAAATAGGAAAGAAAATGGGAAAAACAGCTTTTATAGCGCATGGGCAAAACTTAAGCTAGGCTGAAAGATTACATATATCATGTCAAAATTATGTAATTAAAAGCCACAGTGATAGAGGGGTGAGAGACAATCGGTTGAAATGTTTATGTTAATGTTTAAAACACATTTTCAGTCCCCAGACTACCAAGTGCTGAATAGAGTGATGCTAGAAAGTCAGAGTGCTGAGAAAGCAGATGTGCCCCTGAGCTCAGCATCACATAGAAGATCATCTCTGAGGCATGGCTGTGAAGGGGAGCAGGACTTCGGCTCAGAATCCAGCCCCCTCTGGATCCCTACCACATCACGCCTTCAATCCATCCTCACTGAGTGAATATATTTTTCTTGTTTTAAATTTCAAATAAATTGTTAAAAACAGAGGGAAAAGCTGATACTAGCGCTTGTCCTCTAATGATGAAGGTATAACAAAAAGGAAGTTTAACCTTGAAAAATCTGATAGTAATATCAGCTAAGATGATATGACCTTGATTCCCTTTCCAAAAAAGACAGCATCCAGATCCCTCTTATTCTTGTCCCTCTCCTGACCCCACCATACTAGACCATTTCTTGTTCCACTTCACTACTGTGGCCAATGCTCAGGCCAAGGCCTGTTCAGGTCTGCTACAGGAAGCCTGGAACACAGAATCTTTGGTGACTCTGTAGGGGACTGAGGTGAGTATTTTCCCTTGTTCAAACAGGCTGTGGAGGAAGCAAATGTCTCTGCCATGATCAGGAAGTGAAATGGCGCTACACTACTCAGAAGATTCCACCTAGTGTAGAGAGGGCCAGATGGCTTAATATAGGCAAGACATGACATTTCAGCCATGCATAAAGCTTCCCCCAATTTCCTGGGATGTAATTATGCTTCGCCCCATCCTCTACCCTGTAACAGCTAGTAGAAAACACTCCCCCCCACTTCCGGGCCCTCCCACCCAAGGAGTGAGTCCAGCACTCCTCAGTTTCCTGGCATCCTTATCAACACTGGACGGAACCTTCTGTCCAGGGTGGTGCTATTGCTGGTGATTTCCTCTCCCTTGGCACAGATGCCTGAGT